GCTGCTGCTGCTGGGGGCAGCAGTTGGGTCTTAGGGCTTCGAGTTTGCTGAGGGTTAGGAGACAAGAAACCCTAAAAGAGGGGTGCAGCGAAAAGATAAGAGGCCGGAGAGCCACGAGGCCAACTGCAGCAGCAGCAACGTAGCAGTTTGCTGCTGCAGCAAACGCAGGATGCGGGAGCGCAGCAGCGCCATTTGGAGCAGCGGGAGATGCTGCTGCTGCTGCTTCTGCTGCTGCTGGTGCGGGCGCTGCCTCTGCGGCTGTGAGGCCTGCTGCTGCTGCTGCTGCTGCAAGGTCCTCGGGATCGAGTTTCTTGTGCTGCTGCTGCAGCAGCTTGTCTTCTAGGGCTTTGACTGCTGCAGCAGCGGCAGCAGCAGCAGCAGGGCTGACTCTGCCCTGCTGCTGCAGCGCGAGAGCAGCAGCAAACAGGTCCAGAGGCTCGTAAGGCCCCAAATCACTCAAGCAGCAGCAGCAGCAAGCTTCAGCCAGCAGCGCATGCAGCCCCAAACCCCACAGCCCCAGCCGGGCCAAACTGGAGACAGAATTAAACAGCAGCAGCAGCCGCCGCTCCGGGCTCGCGTGGCCCAAGACAGAAGGCTGCAGCAGCAGCAGCAGCAGCAGCAGCAACAGAGCAGCAGCACCCTCAAATAGCAGCGGCACGCTCGAGCAGCAGCAGCAGCAGGCTCAAGCAGCAGCAGCAGCAGGCTCAAGCAGCAGCAGCAGTAGGCTCAAGCAGCAGAAGAAGCCGGCTCAACCAGCAGCAGCAGCTGGCACCAACTGCAGCAGCAGACACCGGTAACAGCAGCAATCAAGCAGCAGCAGCAGTAGACTCAAGCAGCAGCAGCAGCGAAGCAGCAGCAGCAGGCGAGCAGCAGCAGACTCAAGCAGAAACAAAGGCAGGGAGACAAAGAAACAAAGGGAAAAAAACACAATGAGGCAAAGACTAGCTGCAGCAGCAGCAGCAGCAGCAGCAAGCCAAAGAAAAAGGACTAAATTTTGGGCGGCTGACCTCCTCGCGCAGCAGAAAAGGCCGCAGCAGCAGCAGCAAATGATTTAAAGTGTCTTCTTTAATTTTGCAGTTCATGTTGGCCAACCCATTGAGACACATGACAAGCCCTTCTCCCGTTATGTCTGCTGCAGCATCCCGCTGCTGCTGCTGCTGCTGCAGCTGCTGCTGCTGCTGCTGCAGCTGCTGCTGCTGCTGCTGCATCTTCTGTCTTTTTTCATTTTTTTCACCTTCTCTTTCCTCTCCTTTTGCTGCTGACGGATTCTTGTGCACATCAGCCTCAGTTGCTCCTGGGCTTCTTTCTTCTTGCTGCCGCTGCTGCAGCTCCTGCTGCTGCTGCTGCTCGTGCTGCTGCTGCTGCAGCAGCAACAGCTGCTGCTGCTGCAGTTGCTGCACCCCAGCTTCAACAATCTCTATTAAGAGAGCCAAGAGGCTGGGGTCCCTGCAGTCTGTCTTGCCTAAAGGCAGGACAGCAGCAAAAAGAGAAATTAAAAACAAAAATAAAAATAAAATTAAAAATAAAAATAAAAGAAAACAATAATTAAATAAATTGCTTACAGATATTCTGAAATGAAAAGAAACGACGGAGAAAAAGACACAGACACGGCATGCGCACGATGGCCTCCTGCTGCTGCTGTTGCTGCTGCTGCTGCTGCTGCTGCTGCTGCTGCTGCAGCTGGGCTACTAAGACAGCCAAAGAGGCGTTTTGGCCTACCTAGCGCATGCAGTAGAAAGCACGCCTGAAGCGGACTGAGCCTGTCTCGCCCATCAGTGCTGCTGCTGCTGCTGCTGCTGCTGCTGCTGCTGCTGCTGGGGGGCCGCGTGAGGACTCTGGCGGCGGCGTTGAAGAGGGGCAGGAACTGAGGTGTATATACAGCTGCGAAGTCCGACAGCAGCAGCTGCAAATCCGCAAAAGAAAATAAATGCAGCTGCTGCTGCAGCAAAGTGCAAAAGGGCAGCAGCAGCTCGCGCTCGGCCACTCCGGGGGCCAGCTGAAACACCCGCAGCAGCCTGCGCGCACGCAGCAGCAGCAGCAGCAGCAGCAGAGCTAGTGAACGGAATAAATGTGCTGAAGACATGAACAATAAAAGAAATAAAAAGGGCAAGTGAGAAAAAAGGAAAAGACTTAAAACTTAAAGGGAAGAAGCAGCAGCAAAAAAGCAAAAGGAGAAAAAAAGGGTCCGAAAGAAGAAAGACAGCAGCAGCAGCAGCAGCAGTAGCAGTGAGTTGCAGCAAGCTGCAGCAGGCAGCAGCAGCTTGATGCAGCAGCAGAACATCTTTGCCGTTTGCTGCTCCCCTCCAGAAAACCAAATCCACTGTGTCTTGTTGGTATTCTGGAAATGAAAATAAAAAAGAAATAAATTTGCAGTTGGAGAGAAAAGGCCTGGAAAAGAGCCGCTGTAGCAGATCGAAAGATGCAGCAGCAGCGGCACCAGAAACTCGATGGTGGGACTCAAAAGTTGAATTGGGGGAAATTTCGGGTTTTGAGGGCAAATTGGCGGATTAAATTGATTCAATTATTTAAATAATAATAAATGATTAAAGGAAAAAACGAATTAATTCAAGTTTTGGGGCTTTAAGTCCGAAGATCGGACAGCTTTCCACTTTCAGTGATCTGCTCCGGGAGTTATCAGTGGAGCAGACCGCAGCTGCTTCCAGGTGTCTGTACACCTGGTGAAACAACAGCTCCTTCTTTTTTATTTTCAATGCATTACTTTTATATTTCCCTTTTCTTGCACAAAAAGTCTGGAAGGAAGGCGGAAGGCGGCTGCGAGCAGCAGGAGCCCAGGGTTGTTTGCCCAGCATTTCCCTCTACAAGTGCCAGGTGTTTTTGTTCAATTAATGGAAAAACCGAAATTAAAGGATTTACTTTGAAATTAATATTCGAATTTTGAGTTTTTGCAGCAGCCGGGCTGCTGCTGCATGCGCGCCTTCCTGTGAGTTTCTTGTTTTGCAATTTGCTGCAAGTGACTCAGCGCAAGACTGCGACAGCCTTTTCGACTCTACTTTTCCTTTTTTTGTCGTTTTGTCTTTTCTTTTTTACCCCAAATATCTTTAAATCCCCTTTTGCAAAATAAAACGCGAAGCGGAACTTCTCCTTTTGCTGCCTTTGCGCTATTTCCTGTACAGCGCGGTGTCTAGACACCTGGAACTGAAGCTCCTGTACCTGTTTGCCCATCAACTGCGCCAAATCTCCCACTTTTTCTTCTAATAGTATTCTTAATTGCATGCAACTGCATGCAGAAAGGGAAAATAACTATTCAGAAAGCTCTTTAGCCCCAGCAGCTGCAGTTCTGCAAGCAAAGGCAGCTGCTGCAGTTGGCCGATCTTCTTCTCCCCTTTTGCCTCTTTGCAGCAGCAGCTTTTTGCGCCTCTTCGCTCCCTACGAAGGCACAGACCAGCAGCAGCAGCAGCAGCAGCAGCTGCAGCAACAGCAGCAGCAACAGCAGCAACAGCAGCAGCAGCAGCAGCAGCAGCACACCTACGGGGCTACCCAAAACGAGGGCTAAAGAGAGAGAGGCCGAGAAAGAGTTTCAAAAAGGAAAAGAAAATAATTTGGATTGTGGAAGGAAAATAAAAGACTTAAATTCAAAAAAAAAAAAATAAAGAAAATGCTGCTAGAAGAACCTGCAAAAGAGTCTCGCTGGTTTTTTTGGCTGACTCAAATTTTTGTCATTTTTCTTTTTTCTCTTCAACTCGCTCTTTGTCTCCAAAAGGAGTGGGGCGGAGGCTTTTCAATTTCCGACATTAAATCACGTAAACCTCCATTTTAGGGTTTAGGGTTTAGGGTTTAGGGTTTAGAGTTTAGGGTTTAGGGGTTGCAGGGCACACGCTAGAAGGGCGGAAGGTTTAACGCTAAGGGTTTCGGGGGGCTTAGGGTTTAGGATTTAGGGTTTAGAAAGGAGGGCTCAGGGTTTGACGGCTTTCTAGGGTTTAGGGTTTAGGGTTTGGGGTTTAGGGTTTCTTTCTTGCCTCAGTCAAGTTCTTCAATTTCCACCCTCTTCTGAACATTCTGGCCTTCGGCGTGGCAATGACAGAGTCGGTAAGGAGCCAAAATAGAATTTAAAAGATTAAAATAAATTAAAATAAATTTAATTAAATTAAATTTAATGAAATTAAAATGAACCGCAGTTTTGGTGCAGCCGCAGTTAGGGTTTAGGGTTTAGGGTTTAGGGTTTGGGGTTTAGGGTTTAGGGCCGCGAGGTAAGCGCTCGCTTTCTAGAGTTTGGAGTTCCAGGCCTAGGCTTTAGGGTTTAGCGTTTAGGGTTTAGGGTTTAGGGTTTAGGGTTTTGCGTCTCGCGGGCGTTCTGTGCCGCCAGAAGTTCATTTTGGGTGCAGTTTGTTGGGGGCGGGTCTGCGCGTTGAGCGGAAGAGTTGTTTTTAAGTTTCGAATTAAAAAGAAATTAAAATCGAAACTTAAAAATCTAAACTTATTCAAAACTTTTCGAAAAAACAAAATTCAAAATATGCACTTTCGCCGCAGCTCATTGCCTTCAAGGCCTTCGCCCTTCGCCGCAAAACCGCCAAAACCCTCCACGCCCTTCTCCAGCTTTTTTCTTTTCTTTTTGCCCTCGCCGCTTTTCTTGTTGTTCTTCTTTTCCACAAATCCAACAAGTTCCCGGACTTCTACAGGTCCAGCGAAACACAAATCCCATTCAATTCCAAATCCAACATATCAACAAACTTCTCAAACCCAACATGCACAAAATACCATTTAAACGGCTCTCCCAGGGGCCCTGGGGGCCACCGGGGGCCTCGGGGGCCCCTGGGGGCCCCGGGGGGCCCCCCCAGGGGCCCCGGAGGGCCAGCTAGGGGCCCCGGGGGGCCCCTAGGGGCGCCTAGGGGTCTCTAGGGGCCTTCAGGGGCCCCAAGGGGCCCCTAGACACCCCTAGGGCCCTTCAGGGGCCCCCAGGGGCCCCTAGGGCCTCCATGGGAAGTCCTAGAGGCCCCGAGGGGCCCCCAGGGGCCCCCGGGGGCCCCTATGGGATTTTGGGTCTTTTAGGATGCCTCAGAGCCCACCTGGAAGGCCAGTGGCTCTGTGACAGGGTTTAGGGTTTCGTGCTGGGGATTAGTGTTTAAGGCTTAAGGTTTGAAATTTAGGGTTTAGGGTTTAGGGTTTAGGGTTTGGGGTTTGCGTTTGTGCGGGGCACTGCAGCGTTCACAGCTGGATCGGCCTGACGGTCTATATTTTGTCGTGGTGCCAGTTTTTGTTAGGTGAGAGAGACAGCCATCGGAAACCCTAAACCCTAAACCCTAAACCCTAA